AAAAAAAAAAAAAGGAAAAATAGAGAAAGAAACAAGGCAACGTGAAACTTCATTTTTTTCTCCTCTGTTTTGCTCGAGTCTTCTCTTCGTCTTACCTCCGACCATCATCAATCTCTCTCGCCGTTCGATCTCGCTCATTTCCGTGCCTTCGGGATTCTTGTTCGGATGTTCGGTTCGAACAAGAAGCCAGAACCAGTTGGAGAAGCTTCGACGGGGTACAGTCGGATGGTTAAGCGAAGAAGGTGGCAAAGGAGGATCGGGAAGGAGAGTAAGTTGGGCAACTTTCAGCCGACGAGTCTAATCGTCCAAGTCGCAGCCGAAGGTTTACCTCTCCCCCCCCCCCCCATCGAGCCGTGAGCCGAGTCTGATTTATGACGCCGAAGAACCGGAGGAACGGCTCCTGCCTGGTTCGGTTTCCATCTGTGATCGATAGATCGGAACGAATTATCAACGTCGATTTAGCGGGGCTCCGATTGCTCTTACGAATCGCTCGATTCGCGCGCGAGAGAGGAGGAGGTTCGACGTATCGATTCGAAACATCTTCCGTTCATTTTCTTTCGATTTCATACGATCAGCACCGCGATCTTTGGTTTTCCTGGCTTTCTATCGGCTTTGCGAGCAAAACTCGCACGGTGAATCTTGTGATTTCCTGGAATCTGTTATCGACAATCGACTGTAAGATTTTCTAATAATTAATTCGATCCAATACTATGTCTGACTGAATAATTCTATTAATTATTACACAAGAAGAAGTTTATATTATTGTAAATCATCCATACGAATGAAATATTTTTATTCTTCGATCGGTGGATTATTGTATGATCGTTAAAAGAAGACGCGAATGGAACTTCGCCGAGCAAATACAACCGAGTCTCTTTTTACACGGTGGATGCGTATCATGGAAATCATTTCGCGAAGAGAGGAGAGTCTCTTTCTACCTCTCGTGGCTCAATTTGCTACCGATAGTCTTCTACCTGAGTAGATGTCGGATCATTGAGTCACGGATACGGCGAGCCGCGAGTTATTCTTCAATCGAGGGTCTCCGCATCCCGTTCGCGGAATCAATCAATGAATCGTTTCGAGAAAATTTGATCTTTGAGCACGTTCGGTATGGAGATTCTCAGATAATCTCGAGAGAGAGAGAGAGAGAGAGAAACGACGCAGAGAAAACAAAAAGAGCGTTCTCTCGATAATAAAGAGAGAGGTAACATAATAGGATTCTATTTTTCTCGTTTATCACAAGACATACGTCTTTCTTCCCTCTCCGTGGTACCAGTCGTTTCAATTTCTGGGACAAAGAACTATCTCTCTCTCTTTTTCTCTTTGTTGATCGTCGAGGAACGATTTTATTAAACGCGTCTGAATATCTCTTGCTTGGAGAGAGAAAGAGAGAGAGACAGGGAAGAAAGAGAAGAAGAAGAAGAAAAAGAAGAAACGAATCGAATCGAATCGCCTCGGTGTCGATTCGTGTTTCACCGATGATTCTGCCAATTCCATTGACCCAGTTGCGTTCCCCGGTTAGAAAGCCGGCTACGCAAATTGAAAGAAGTCCTCGGATGCCCCGGATAGAAACGCGACGCGGTGAATAATAACGGACCGGTCGTGACGTTTTACAAAAGCAATCGTTAATTCGTATTCAAAACAGATCGCGGATATCGCGGGCGCTTCGTGCCTTCGTGATGATCCGGCTAATCTTGCTGACCCAACCGAGGTATCCGTTTATACTACGCTGCTCGAACCTTGGATAGAGCGACAGAGAATAAGGGGAGGAGAGAGAGAGAGAGAGAGAGGACAGA